GTGCTCTACCACTTGAGCCACAGCACCACTTGCAGCTTTTTATGAGTATTTTCTTAGAGATAAGAGTCTCACAGACTTTTCTTGCCCAGGCTGGCTTTGAAGCATGATCCTCAGATCTCAGCCTCCTGAGTAGCTAGGATTACAGGCATAAGCCTCTAGTGCCTGGCAGAAATATACTCTTTACCTAACTTATGTAACTAGAACTCCTCTGTACATCAGCTTTATAATAAAAATTAAAAAATAAAAGTAAAGGCTGGCAAAGTACATAAAGAACCAGGTCCAGCTGATGGAAGAGTCATAGCTCGAAAACCAGTAAAGCACACCTCATTCAGGTTTAATGGCAAGCTCAAAAAAGAAGAAAATGAATGAAAATGAAGTAAATAAGAGGACTTAGTTAAAAAGAACTTATACAAGCAAATAAAAAACAGTAGCTTCCTTTCTTTTGATAATAAAGATGAAAATGAGTAAGTGTAACATTTAGGCTTAGTCTCCTTGAAATTATGAGTTATGTTTTAAAACATACCTGTCATTTTAAAAATAGCATTTTTCTATAATTACTACATTAATTCATTATAGAATATTTAGAAAATATAGTAAAGCTTTTCTTTTTTGGTCGGTCATAGGGCTTGAACTCAGGGCCTACTTGCTGTCCCTAAGCTCTTTTTGCTCAAGGCTAGAGCTCTATCATTTTGAGCCACAGTGCCACTTCCAGTTTTCGAGTGGTTAATTAGAGACTTCCCTGTCTGGGCTGGCTTTGAACCATGATTCTCAGATATCTGCCTCCTGAGTAGTCGAGATTACAGGCATGAGCTACCAGTGCCCAGCCTGAGGCTGAGATTTGAAGATTGCTGTTCAAAGCCAGCCCAAGCAGGAAAGTCTGGGACAGTCTTATCTTTCCAATAAATGATTTTTTTAAATCCTGAAGTGAAGCTGTGGTTCAAGTGGTAGAGCACTAGCCTTGAGGGAAAAAAGTTCAGGGACAGTATCTAGGCCTTCAGTTCAAAAGCCTCAGAATGGGCATCAAAAAACCAAATTCCTCCTCTTGCTCTGGACTTCCAGGGCTGAATTCTAGTTCCCTGACTCTGTACATTATGCTGCTTCCTGGCATGTTCCAGGCAGTCTCGTGAGCCTTTGAGTGTCCTTTCCCAGAAACTGAGATCCCTCCCTTCTCTGCATCCCTTGATTTTCCATTGTGTCCATGAAGGGTTCCTGTCTCCTGGGCTATCACAGTAGCATGACTTACTCCCATCCCAGCACTCACGACATGCTAGTGGATCTGGTTGCTCATATATCCATGTTCTCTTCTGGGCTCCACAGAGAGGCATATCAGCCACAGATCATCTTATATCCAGCGATGGGCATGACTACAGAGGCTCCAAAGAGACGCCACATGGATGAGGGACTCTGGAAGAATGTATAGCCTGCAGGTGCTGGAAGGGACTCGGTGAGGAGAAGGATCATCACTCCTAAGAGACAGAGTCCTAGAACTTCACAGCAAGAAAAAGGAGAGCTGGAAGGGACCGCAGAGACCATCAAGCAACCCACTTTCTGGTTTACAAATGAGACCCTCAGGAGAAGGACTGGACAAAGATGGATGGGCATGGGGGAAGGTAGAGGATGAAGAGTGGTGAAAAGTAGTGTTAAAATGAATCTTTAGGGGTTGGGAAGGTGGCTCAGTGGTAGAGTGCTTGCCTTGCATGCATGAGGCCGTGGGTTCGATTCCTCAGCACCACGTAAACAGAAAAAAGCCAGAAGTGTCGCTGTGGCTCAAGTGGTAGAGCGCTAGCAAGCTGAAGAGCTGAGGGGCAGCGCCCAGGCCCAGAGTTCAGGCCCCACAACTGACATAAATAAATCTTTAATTTAATCTTTAATGTTGACAGGGCTCCTTGGTCCTTCCCATTTCAGCTCTCAGGTGGAGCTGGACACCAACTCCTTACTATGACCACTAGATGGCGCCAGCTCCCCAGGCAAGATAGAAAGCCAGGGCTGCCTATACATCTTAGGTTCCATCTCCTTTCTGAGTCCTTCCCTTATTCCAGCAGGCATGGTAGCTGTGCTTCAGGAAACAGCTTGCTTCAACAAGCAGCTCTTTGGGGTGCCAGAGGCAGAGTGGGCAATGGACTTCACGCTGGACATGAGCCAGCACTGCCCCCCCCCTCCTCCCAGAGCCTGTCAGGAACTGCCCCGCTTCACCCCTCCACCAGGGGCAAGGAGTCCAGGCGGCTGACACTTGCTCATCTTGCTGGGCCAGGTGAGGTCCAGTGGGTGGCACTGGTCCCACTGCATCGTTCAGGTTCCTCTCCCTCCCAGCCGGTGGTGTCTCCATTCCTGCTGGTCTGACAGCCTTTGGGGGAAGCTTCCCTGGTTGAAGCTGCCCCTTCCGCTGGCCCCTGGGGCCTTGTGCCTGTCCATGCCCCCTCCCACCAGGGACGCCTCAGCCCCAGCCACACTAGAGAAGCACCAAGGCCATTCAGCCCCTGTTAGGGAGTCTCAGTCAGCCAACAAACACCCACTGAGCATGGCTGTAGGTATCTGAACTGGACAGGTTAGGCTGTCCATAGCGTGCCAGGCAATGGAGGACCTCATATTGCCACTGAATCGGTTTGGTTACGCTCATTGCAATTTCAGTCCACTTCTAGAACTCTTACAATCTCCAGATTCGAGAATATTCTAAAATAATCCTCCACCACCACCAGGATTTCTGAGCTCACTCAGTAGTCAGGGTCGGGTCGGGGTGAGGTGAGGAGGGAGGCTGGGTTTCTTTGAATCACCTGACGTTTTTGCTCTCTGTTGGTGAATGAATAAATGAACCCTTGGGACAGGGCTTGCCCGACGCCATTCCCTGGGTGTAGGGAGTTGGGGGGGTGCCTGCCTGCCGCCCCCACTCGCATCCCGGGAGGGCAGCCTGCCGCCCAGTGCCCTTCCTGCCCCCAACGCCGCGGGCTCCCCGGGGCGCCCTCTTGGCAGCAGAACACAGCGCATCCAGAGCGGGTGGCAACTCGCCCCGACACTGGCTCGCAGCGGCGGGCGATAGGCGCTGGGGGGACGCGCAGATAGACAGACAGATAGCGCTCCCCTGGTCCGCCCCCGCCCCCACCTTTCCCACGCGGCGGCCTCGGCCCGGGCCAGGCAGCACCCACTGCTGGCCCCTGAGCTCAGACCGCGGCCCTCTGTCTCCACCAACTACACTTCTCAAAGTCATTTCAGACCCAGTAGCCTGCCTCCAGGCCTGACTTTGAAAGGGGGCACAGAGCCCCCCTCCTCCCTCCTCTGCACACTCCATCCTAAGATACCCCTCTTCCCACCTCCCACCCCCTCAGGATGGTTTCACTCAGGTTCACGGGGCTGCAGGGCCTAGCAGTGACCACTAGGTGGCAAGCTGGCACTGTGTGTCCTCCACATAGTTTGGCCAGACTAGTCAGGTCTAGGGGACAGGAAGTGAACTGGAACGGGGAGGGGGTGGTCTAGGAAATAAGAGTAGGAGAAGACTCCCCCTTCTCTAAAGAAGTTGGGAGGGGGATAGAGAAATGGGTGAGGTACCCCCCAAGCAGCTAAACTCATCTAGGAACTAGTTTTTATATGGGCCAGGCCAGACTAGAATCTGTGGGGACCATCTTTATCAGAGGCTTTGTGGCAGGAAAGAGTTCAGTGGTGCATCATGGCTACCACATAGGGGATGGGGAAGGTCCCAAGAGATCTATTCACAAGTGCACATACACACCAGGATGCATGGTGGATTCCCAACAGCCCTCCGAGTCCCCACATCCTTACACACCTCCCCTGCCACACACTCGCACCCTCCTATTCACCTACATCTTTGTGTGCTGTGGGCATGTGAAATGCTCACACACCAGTTAGCCCCATCTGATGCGCCTCACCCTTAAAAATGCCCACACACCTGAGTGCTGGCCCATCCTGCCCTGAAATTGTCTGCAGACCTACTAAGGCACCCAGTTGGAGAGCCTGCCAGTGTTCTACCCAGCCTCCATTCAGCCCCCCACCCCTCTGAAGTGGCGGCCACATCATTTTGGAGACAACTCGTATCACCCCCTCCTCCCCACGGCCCTGTCCCACCCAGCAGGACCCTCTGGTGGCTCTTTTGAGGCATCAGTAGGCCCAAGGTGCTTTTGCTTGGTGGGCTCCTTCCTTTGAAAGCTTTTGAAAATTACACTTGCTGACTGCATTACCACACAGACAATGTATCAGCGTAGACATTCTTTTTCATTTCTTCTGATTTTAAGAGCAATTAAAATAGCTTCATGGACTTGATCACTTTTTTGGGGGGTTGTCATTTTTACAATATACAAACATACACCACACACCACCACCACCACACCTCCTTCCAGAAACACCCATTGGGCAAATTCCCTCCTACCCCTCATAGCACCTAAGCCCACCCACTCCCAGTCACAGCACATTGACAGACTTTGGGGCTCTTCAGAACCAACCACCTCAAACACACACACACACACACACACACACACACACACACACACACACACACACACACACACACACACATGGTTCTCCCTCCTATGCTCCAGCCCAGATTAAGCCTTTTGAAGGTGTGTGTGTGTGTGTGTGTGTGTGTGTGCCTGAGCCTGCGTTTTGGGTAACAACAAAGAAAGGGGGAGCGAGAGAGCAAGAGAGGGAGCCCAGCATGTTTTGCCTCGAAGGCAAGACTTGCAGCCAATCAGCGCGCAGGAGCCTCCCTCTGCGACTCCAACATTGAGTCTATAACCGGCTGGCCGGGCGGAGCTGGCAGCATTTGGCTGTGGCTTGGGACGCGGAGAGAGGCGCGCAGCGATCGCCCGACGGCTGGCTGGCTTAGGGTCTAAGGCGCCCCTCGACCACCCCCTCCCTGGAGACGCGGCGGGACCCTCCCCCTCGCCCTCGGGACACCCACACCCCGTCTGATCTCCTCCGCCTCCCCGGCGCTCCAGTCCGCTCCGGCGCTCCTCGGCGGAGGCCAGCCCGGGGGAGGCGCGGCGCCCGCCAGCATGAGCGGCTCCTTCGATCGCAAGCTCAGCAGCATCCTCACCGACATCTCCAGCTCCCTCAGCTGCCATGCGGGCTCCAAGGACTCTCCCACCCTGCCCGAGTCTTCGGTCACCGACCTGGGCTACTACAGCGCTCCCCAGCACGACTACTACTCGGGCCAGCCCTACGGCCAGACCGTGAACCCCTACACCTACCACCACCAGTTCAATCTCAACGGGCTCGCGGGCACCGGCGCTTACTCGCCCAAGTCGGAATATAGCACCTATGGAGCCTCCTACCGGCAGTACGGAGCCTACCGGGAGCAGCCTCTGCCCGCCCAGGACCCAGGTGAGGAGCCCGGGGTCGCGGAGAGGGGGCGAGACACCGGAAGGGCTCCAGGGAGAGAAAGGTGGGGAATGGCAAGCCGAGATCTAGGCAAGCCTCGACGACGAGAAACCCTACGGCCTGGACGTTGCAGGAGGTGGGCTGGGTGACCTCCAGGTGGGGACCGGCGACCTTGCCGTGCGGGGCGCGGAGCGCGCTGGGCGCCGCCGTCTGGGATGAGCTGGGGCGCGGGGAGCGGGCGCCGGCTGGCCGGGGGCTCTCTCCTCGTGGAGGTGATTTTCCGGGCACTTCAGCTGGTGGCCAGGGGGTCGCGAAAGGCGGAGGGGGGCAGGGGAGGGGCCGTGGCGACTGGAAGCCGAGGCGCCCCTTTCCTCTGGACGGGGACTAGAGAGATCGGAGTGGCGAGGGACACGTGGAGAAGGACTCGCCCTGGGGTCGGGAAGCCCGGGGAAGCAGAGAAGCTGGAAAAGGAAAGGTGAGGACAGCAAGCCAAGTGTGGACAGACGGAGCGGGAGAAAGGACAGAAGAAAGGAAGAGGGAAGAAAGTAAGAAAAAGAAGGAAAGAAGAGAGAAAAGAAGGAAGAGAGCAGGAAAGAATGAAGGAGGAAGGAAGAAAAAAGGAAGGAAGGGAAGGCAGGAAAGAAGGAAGAAAGGAAGGGCAGGATCTGTTCCACCGCAGCTGTTCTAAAATCCCGACGGGAGGCGAGGCTGGGAACCGCGGGGCGGACGCGGGAGCCGTCGGCGGGCGGGCGGGCGGCCGGAGGCCGGGCGGCGAGGCGGGAGTGCGAGCTGAGCGAAGCCGCGCGCCGTCCTTGCCCGGGCGGTTGCTGGCGCCGGGGGCCGGCGCTCCGAGGCCGGGGCGCGGAGCTGGGAGCGCCGCGTCGTCGTGGGCGGCCGCCGGGCCGGCTCGGTGGCTGCAGTTCCTTCCCGGGGCGGGCGCGGGCGGCGAAAGAGCGCCCGCGGGGAGATGTCGGTGCCGGGCGGCGGGCCTCCGGGAGCGGCGTCGCCGATCGGGGATGGTGGAGGGCGCGCGAGGAGGGGTCGCAGGCGGAGGCTGAGCCGCCCCCCACCCCCCACCGACCTCCCCGCCGGGTGCATTCCCCGCAGTGTCGGTAAAGGAGGAGCCGGAAGCCGAGGTGCGCATGGTGAACGGGAAACCCAAGAAGGTCCGCAAGCCGCGCACGATCTACTCCAGCTACCAGCTGGCCGCCCTGCAGCGCCGCTTCCAGAAGGCCCAGTACCTGGCGCTGCCGGAGCGCGCAGAACTGGCCGCGCAGCTGGGCCTCACGCAGACACAGGTGAGCGCGGGGCTGGGGGAGAGCCAGGGGACGGGGCGCGGGGGCGGGGGGGCGCTGCGCGAGGACCCTCGGGTTCCCTAGGCTCGGCTGATCTGGCTGGCCTTTGTAAGGCCCTTGCAGGCTACTGCAAACTAATTTGCCAATGGGATGAATGACTCCCGGGTCTTTACTTTCCTAAAGGTTTGCATTATTAGTACATGTCCGTGTGTGCGTAGGGGTGACTGTGGGGTTCTGTGTATCTGTCACACGGAGAGGCGGCCTCCAGCCCCAGCGTCCCCAGCTTCCCCAGGACCAAGCCCAACTACTCAAGTCCTACCAGTCCTTGTTGTGTTTCTCCTCCAGTCTAGGCCTGTGAACTAGAGGTACAAGCCTTTATGTTTGCAGATATGCCAGGCAATACTCACACAAGGTGTGTGTGTGAATCGGGCACCAGCTGCCTTATACCTATTCATCCTAGTTACTTGGGAGGCTGAGATCTGAGGATCGAGGTTAGAAGCCAGCCCAGGGAGGAAAGTCTCCAATTAACCACAAAAAAAGGAAGGAAGGAAGGAAAGAAAAGCAAACAAGCTGGAAGTGGAGCTGTGGCTCAAGTGGTAGTCAGCCAGGTTCTGAGTTTGAGCCCCATCAGAACAACAAAAAGGTGGAGAGCCAGAACCGATGATTGTGCACCATACCAGTGAGTGTATGCACAAAAAATGCACACTTATATCAAAGTACCACATTCCTGCTTGGCACCCAAATGGTCCTTTGCCGAATTAAGAGGAGAAGTTCTCAACCAAAGGAGTCCAAAATGGGAGTGAACCCCACCCCTAGCCCCCTTCCCCCAACCTGTCACTGATCTGGGGAGGTATGCTGGGTGCCTGGCTGGGTACAGGTGTTGACAGGCGGGCCTTGGTTGTGGCTGGCTGCGTGGGGCCTGGTCCTCTGGGAATCTGGGTCACCTGGTGAGGAGCTGATTCATTGTTTGTACCAGTCATGGGGTGGAGAGCAGCAGGAGGAGGGGGAGATACCCCAAGGGAAATTTGGGGGAATCATGGCTCACCTGCTCCTGAGTCCCTAGGTCACCTCTGCACACACACCCCCACCCCATTACCCAATGTAAGCCCAAGAGTGTATGAATGTGGGTGCTGGTGTTGTAGAGTGCTTATCTGGGTGTATCTGTGTATGTGTGTAGCCTTACAGTGTTTCGGGAGGCTGTGAGTGGGTACATTACTGAGTATGGAAGTGCCTGTGTGTGGGTGGGTGTTTGGCTGTGAGTGTCTGTACCCTTCTGTTTATGGGCATCTCATGTGAATGAAATGTCACAGACTATCCATGTCTGGCTTTTTATTAAGTGTTTACTGTATACCAGGCAGTTCTTTCCATATGTCCGAACTTTTCTGAGCCTCATAATGACCCTTTGAGGTGGGGTAACAGTGCTGCCACTGTCCCCTGTTTGCAGATGAATGGAAAGTGACACCAGAGAGGTGAAGCGCCTTGTCAAGGTCACACTTAGTAAGTGGAGGGAGACCCCCCAGGCCAGCCATTCTAAGGCTCCTGGATAGTTTTCTCTGTCACTAAGGCCAGAAAGATGCTAGCCTGGGAGTGAGCCCCCCACCCTGCTTTTCTTTATGTGATCTTGGACACTGGCCTTGCCTTCTGTGGGCTGGATTCCCGGGGGTTTTTCTTTTGGCTCCTTGAAAGACTAACTCCTCTTCCTTTCTTCTCTGGTCCAGGTGAAAATCTGGTTCCAGAATCGCCGCTCCAAGTTCAAGAAGCTGTACAAGAACGGGGAGGTGCCCCTGGAACATAGCCCCAACAACAGTGACTCCATGGCCTGCAACTCTCCACCGTCCCCAGCCCTCTGGGACACCTCTTCCCACTCCACACAGGCGCCTGCCCGCAGCCAGCTGCCCCCGCCGCTCCCCTACAGTGCCTCTCCCAGCTACCTGGATGACCCCACCAACTCCTGGTACCACGCACAGAACCTGAGTGGACCCCACTTACAGCAACAGCCACCGCAGCCAGCCACCCTGCACCATGCCTCCCCTGGGCCCCCGCCCAACCCTGGGGCTGTGTACTGAGCACCCACTTGGCCTGTACCCCCACGAAGGACCCCAGGACCAGGCAGAAGGTGCCCTGCCCTAGCGACACTCAGGAATCATGGAGGAGCACAGGGGAAAGGGCCCCTCCGCCTTTCCCCATTCCTTGCCCCTTCCTCCAGGGACCCAAGAGCTAACAGATGAAATTTGCATGGACCAAGGATGTCCCCTGAACCTCCCTGCCCCTGCTCAGAGCAGGGGACACCATCCAATCCAGATGTCAAGGTGTTCCGCCCTGGTGAGGACAGTGGACCCTTTTGCTCCAGGAGCCTGGATTGGCTTTGAATGGCTCGTGACCTACCAGCTTTTTCATCGGTAGTAGGACCCATTCCCCAGACTGGAGACCTTGGGGGATGAGGAGATTGGGAATGTTTGCAGGTCCAGCCTGGGCTAGGGAGCCAGGCATCCGTGGATCCTATGGCCTGCCAGACCCAGTTCCCTCTAAGCTACCTGGGGCCTCCCCAAACCTGAGTAGCTTTTTCTGCCAAAAAGACAGTGGATATCGTGACCGAGATTGACACTCAGGGTAGGGACCTGACCTAGCACCCGGTTCTGCTCATCTAGCCCTCATTTAAGACTTGAGGGTCAAGCCAAAGAAAATCCCCAAGTGTGAGGGAACCTATTAACAGCTGGGATTTCAAGGAAGAATTAAAGGAGCCGTCTCCTCTTGGCCCTTCCCCACCCTGTTGGGAGGCGGGGGTCTCACTTATTTTCCTAAGGACCTCTTTCTTCTCCGTGTATAGGACTTTGCACAACTTTGGTTTTGTTTGTTTTTGTTTTTGTTTTTTTGCCAGTCCTAGGGCTGGAACTCAGGGCCTGGGCACTGTCCCTGAGCTTCTTTTGCTCAAGGCTAGCACTCTACCAATTGAGCCACAGCACCACTTCCAGCTTTTTCTGTTTCTGTGGTACTAAGGAATCGAACCCAGGGCTTTCATGCATGCTAGGCGAGCACTGTACCACTAGGCCACATTCCCAGCCCCAACTTTGGTTTTAAAAGCTGTTGAAAAATAGGAAAAACAAAGGGCATTGTTGACAGATAGGACAACCCCTCCCCTCCCAACCTTGGAGGCAGATCATTCTGCTCCCGGATCCCCTTCCTCGCTTCTTCCTTTCCTCCAGTAAATTGGCAATTTGGGGCACCAAACCTCAGCTCTCCAAGGAGACGTATCAGGCAAGATAAGCCCCTCCAGACACCCTCCTTTCCGGCAGCCTTGGAAACAGATTGCTCCCACTCTGCTGAAGAATGGGGGTGAGGTGCTTTGGAGAAAAAAAAAAGGAGGGGGAAGAACTAGAACTCAGTGCTTTAGTGGGAAGGGCTGGCCACCTGGAAGTCTGAGGTCAATGCCCCTCCCTGGCCCAGGCGTCTCCCCCCCCCCCCTGCCCCCCAAAGCTAACTTCTCTCTACTACTCCTCATGTGGTGAAACGTTGAGGAAAAGAAGAGGTAAAAAAAAAAAAAGTAGTTATATATATAGTATGCTTTTTTTTTTTTTTTTTTTTTTTTTTAAAGAGCAACAGAGAGAAACAGTCTCCTCCTTACTGTGGTTTCCTATTTATGTGACCCTATTTCTTCTGGATGGATCTCCCTGTGTGTTGAGCTGAAAGAGGGATCTGGGCTCTGGCTGGATTTGGGTTTCCTGAGAGGTGCAGAAGCAAGGAGAAACTTTCAGTGAGTCTTTAAGGCCCACCCCAGGGGGACAGCAGTGAAGCCAGCTCCCCCCTCACCCCCCAGCCTTCTCATTTCTGCTTTCTTACTGGACCCTTTATATATAATGTTAATAAAAAAGAAAATAAATACCCACTGCGCTCTTTGAACTAGAGGTTGGTTGGTGGCAGGCAGCTCTTGGTGGTTGGATGGGGGAACTTGGGCCTTGGGTAAGTTGTTTGGTGATAAGGGACCTTGAAGTCTCCTGAGAGGACTCTGCAGAGATCCTAGGTTACTCCATGATGGGGTTGGGGTTAGATGGCTGCTCCCATGGGCGGGTCTGGGTGGGAGGCTCCCAGCCTCCCTGACTCCACTGTGTTTCATGGCTTGGCATTCCCTGTCAGCCAACTGCCCCCCACTGCTGTCCTGTCCCTACCGCCACCAACACTCCTGCCAGCTCACCTCCGGCTGCTCTTTGATCTTGTGCTCGCACACAGGCATGCTTGCACATGAGTGTGTAAACCCCTGCCTCCACGCCTAGACAGCCTAGACACTCCCAGCCCCTCACCCTCCATCTGTCCCTCCCAGCTTGGGTAAGGATGAAGAGGAACACAGTCACTGTTCCCAAAGCCACTGGCGTCCAGGCCCAACCAGGGAAGCTAGTGGAGGGCTTGCATTCTTGGAGAACATCAGGCCTTGATTCAGAACTTTCTAGATGCTGACGTTGACTGGGCCGAAGCTGCTGCCATCCTCCTCTTCCAGCTCCAGAGCATAACTGCATGAAAGAGAAGAGCTAGAGGTGGGAGAATGACTGGGGGGGGGGAGGGGGGAGGTAGTGAACCCCACCTACATCTTGACACAGAGTGGATATCATGAGTGCATGCACAACCTCTTCCCCTTCCCCTCTCCCTCTTTCTCTCTTTTTCTAGGTACCTCTGTGGTACACACGCATACCCAGACACAGTGACATTTCTCCACAGTCACGTATACACATCGCACTTGAGGCAAATGGACCATCCCCTGCAGACACACAACACACACACAAAACCACACACCTGAGACACTTGAGCATCACACCACACAGATGTCAGAAAGCCAAAGCCACCACAACATAAGAGATCTAGACCCCCTCACACACAAAGGCACAAACACACTCAGTCACCCCAGCCCCAGACACATGCATACCGCACATGCGCACACCCACCGGCCAGCAGAGGCAGCTCCCTGTAATGGAAAAAGCCTTGTTCAGAAAATTAGCACCATCACCAGTAGCCACTGTGACCCAGCTCAGCCTGGAGCCTCCCAGAAAGGCCCTTAAGCATCCTCATCTGTCAAATGGGGCCAACAGTCCCCACCAGGCTGGCCTCTGGGGATCTTGTGAGAGACTGATGGAATAAAAACGAGAAAGCAGGAGGATGGAGCCAGTCTCAGGCTCACTGAGGGGACTAGGTTGCTAGTTACAGCTGCTCAGAAGTCAGGCTTTCCCAGTAGAACTCCAGAACTGGGGCTCCCCACTTCCTCTCTCTCCTCCTCAGAAGCAAGCCCTGGCCTCCCCCATGCCTAGGAGGCACAAGGGAGGAGGCCTTCAGCCCACGGACGCCAGCGGGCGTGGGCTGGCAAGGGTTAAGTTGGCAGCTGCCAGGCGGGGCTGAGCTGAGCAGTTTGGTTTGAGGGCTGCGTGCCGGCAGGAGCAGCGAGGCGGCAGCCGGGCAGACTCACTGGAGACACTGCATTTTATTAGGGCTGGGCTGCCAGCAAAGGGAGGGAGAGGGAAAAAAGGGCAGAGGGAGGAAGGAAGAAGGGAGGCTGGGCGGGCAGGCGGCGGCCACGGGATGAAAGGGTGTTGTAAGCTCCCTAATTCCTCCCAGCTCCTCCTGGCTCGGTCAGGCAGGATTAACTGCCCAGGTGACCTCCTGCAGGGGTCGGCCCCACCCCTGACCTCCCCTTCCTCCTCTCCTCACCTTCAGCCCAGCCAGGTCACCTGCACCCTCTTGACTGGTCCTGGTCAGGGTCCCTGAGGGGGCAGGGACTTTGGTGGGGACCTAGCATCATGAAATGGGGGAAGGGGATCTTCTGAGCCTAACTTCTGTCAGCTGCTTCCTCCACTTTCTCCTTCTCCCCCTCCTCCAGATCCTGTTCCTCCTCCTCCTCCTTTCTTCATCTTCCTCCTCCTCCTCCTCCTCCTCCTCTTCTTCTTCTTTCTTCTTCTTCTTCTTCTTCTTCTTCTTCTTCTTCTTCTTCTTCTTCTTCTTCTTCTTCTTCTTCTCTTCATCTTCTTCTTCTTCTTCTTCATCTTCTTCTTCTCCTCTTCTTCCTCTTCTCCCCCTCCCTCCCTCCTCCTCTCCTCTTCCTCCTCCTCCTCCTTCTTCTTCTTCTTCCTCTTCTTCCTCTCTTCCTCCCCCTCCCCTCTCCTCCTCCTCCTCTTCTTCTCCTCCTCTCTCCTCCTCCCTCCTCTCTCCTCCTCCTCCTCCTCGTCCTCCTCCTCCTCCTCCTCCTCCTCCTCCTCCTCCTCCTCCTCCTCTTCTTCTTCTTCCTTCTTCTTTCCTTCTTCTCTTCATCTCCCCTCCTCCTTCCTCCTCCTCCTCCTCCTCCTCCTCCTCTTCTTCTTCTTCTTCTTCTTCTTCTTCTTCTTCTTCTTCTTCTTCTTCTTCTTCTTCTTCTTCTTCTTCTTCTTCTTCTTCTCTTCTTCTTCTTCTTCTCCACCCCTCCTCCTTCCTCCTCCTTCCTCCTTCTTCCTCCTTCCTCCTTCTTCCTCCTCCTCCTCCTCCCTTCTTCTGTTCCTGCTCCTCCTCTTTCTCCTTCCTTGCAGGTATTGGGGCTTAAAGTCAGAGCCTTGCATACATGCTCTCTTGTTTTTTCACTTAAGGCTGGTACTCTACCACTTGAATCACAGCTCCACTTCCACCTTTTTTGCTGGTTAATTGGAGATAAGAGTTTCACAGGTTTGTCTGCCTGGGCTAGCTTTGAACTGAGAGCCTCGGATATTAGCCTCCCCAGTGGCTAGGACTGTAAGTATGGGCACCAGTAGGTCTTGACTCTATCCACTGATTCCTAACAATTATTAGAGAAGAGCAGGGGCAATTAGGGAATCCCAGCCTGCCCCAAGGGTCACTGCTCTTTAAGTCTTAGAAGCTTGGCAAGTTAGTGGTAACCATTTTTTCAGATGAGCAAACTGAGTGTGCATTTAGCATGCACTATGCCCTGGATTCAATCCCCAACACCAAAAAAGAAAAGACAAAGAAAGAAAAGAAAGGAGGAAGGGAGAAAGGAAGAAAGGAAGAATGAAAGAAGGAAGGAAGGAAGGAAGGAGGGAGGGAGAGAGGGAAGGAAGGAAGGAAG